AAAGATATTTGCGAATCAATAACCCTGAATTGAATTTGCAGATAGTATACTCACGCACTTGTTCATGGATCACCCATGATGACTTTGTGATCATCATCATCTGAACTTTATCCAAATTATTTGGGGTTGGCTAACCCTATGTTGTTAACAAAAATCTATATTCCCAACTAAAGATAGCCATATTTCACTTTGCCACATCAAATTTCTCCAAACTAAAGACAAAACCCAAGCCAATCATCAAAGGGAAAGATAATGAACAATTGTTTCATACGGGCTGGACTGCATTTCTACAATATGCAGTCCAAAGGTATAAAGCATCCCTAGATGGATGCAAATAGGTAGTCTATCTAAAAACAATTGTAACTAATTATCCAAATTTTTTTTCAATATAATTATTATTTCTAGTTTTTTTAAAAAAATCATATTCATGATCTCCATGTTAAAGATTAGTAGCATGCACCTGCGTTGTATGTGTTATTAAAATGTTATGCATGTAATATTTTTTAATAAAATTTTTTAAGGAAAATAAATTTACAAAACCTAAAATGAAATAAAAATTAAACTAAATTCCACAATAAAATAAAAGTAATAGTTTCTCACACATATAGAGAGAAAGCGAAAGAGACGTGAAATACCCTTCATAGTGAAAGATAGAAGAAATACTTGTCATAAAAAAAAAAAACAATGATTGAAATATGCACATACTGATCACATTTATAAAGCCAACCAAAAGTATCTCCGAAAATAAAAAATTTAATGTGGAATATATTTTTATAATAATATATAGTTATACTTATAATAATACAATCTATAATTATAATTATTTGTGTAATAAGTATGATATTTAATAAAATATTACAATCATAATCTTGCTATTTTTAATTAATACTCATAGTTCTATTTTGTTATGAATATTATAATAGTTTTGAATTATAATTAATATAATCAAATCGATTAGTTATCACCATGTTAATTATTAATTGACATAAAATATATTAAAAATTTTAATTTTATTTATTTATCATCAATAAAATTATACAATTGTAATTTATTAATAATACAACATTATTATCATAATCTCCAGTAATTAAATTCTAATAAATAATTATACAATAAATAAATTATAAAATTTCAAGAACTTTAAATTTATGCATGTCAATATCTATAATTATGTTAATTATTATGAATATAAATTTTCATTATAATATATTATGTTCATGGATTTTTTATATTAATTTCATACAGACCCCTGATTCCCCATCTGATTTCACAGTAGACCGTCCATTTTTTTTTTCAGGCAGCATACAAAACTCTAATGTATTTTACCGTACCCCCTCATAACTTC